TTGATACCATGATGATCCAAACCCCTGAGATGATGTCGACTCCTTCCTTTGTTTCCTCAGTGCCCTTCAGTCACAGTCACCAAGGTGACTGTTGCCGGGCCCTATCTTCTCCAACCGGAAAAAAGCATCTCCCACCGGAGACCTTCTAAAACTCCTCTCATCTTTGGAAGCAATCTGCAGCAAGCTCCACCACCCCCACCCCCTCCACATGGAGTGCGGTCATGGCAAGTAAAGCGGAGAGGTTTTTGTAACAGGCCTCCCGCTATTACCCTTACATAACACCCCTTCTCCCATTTGTAGGCACAATTAATTTAATGTAGCAAAGAACATAACAGCCTCCTTGCAATCAGCGGCATCAAGGGAGACAGTTATCTCCGTGGCCCCTGCTGGCTTGATGAATATTGAAAAAGCCGCTTCCCTAAGGCCGCCGCCGAGCAAATGTACATTTAGGCAGCAAGATCCCCGGTACGTACTCCGAGCTAAAAATTATGGAGAGGAACAAGGCACCTACTGGGCGCCAATTTGTTATAGAACGAAACCTTTTTGTCTGTGCTCTGGACCTGACCTGGCAACTTTCCCAGCATGCTGTGTTCTGGCCAAGGTGAACCCACCTGGAGTGCTCAATGAAGTTTGGGGGGGGGTGCCTACCTGGAGAAAATAATAGCTAAAGGAAGTTGTCATTTATAAAACTGGTCTAGAGCAATCCGACTCTAGGTTTCTTGTTACACCATTCTCTGAAAGTGTAATTCCATTGGGAATGTGAATTTTCCTATCACTGTTCCATCAACGCCCTATGATTTCCGCATATTGCCATCCTGATGTGGGCATCATTGGAGGGAACGGGACGTCTTTTAGGGGACGGTAGGGCAGTGGGATATGCACTGCCGTAGTTGTCTAGCTATGTTACTGAGAACGCCATCTTGGTTTTTTTAAAAAAAATATATCATCTGGAATTGAATAGAGGAGCACCAAAATTGTTTTAGGATGTTATTTAACTGTTTGTTAATTGTCTATGTGTAATTTAACATTTTATATTGTTTTATTGTTTTATCTGGCATTATGCCCTGTTAGCCGCCCTGAGCCTGCAGGGAGGGCGGGATAGAAATCTAAATAATAAATAAATTAATTAATCAATACATATTGGCAAAAAAAAAATCATTAATTGTTTCTGTCTTATGTTTTCCCTCAGGTTAGCCCAATCTCATCAGATCTCAGAAGCTAAGCAGGGTCCGGCCCTGGCTAGCATTCCAATGTTCCCTCTAAGCTGTGGAGTGTGAGCAAAAATTCTTCTTTGTGAGCTACTGGCATTAAAGTCGTGAGTGAGCCATTTGGCTCCTGAGTAAATTAGTTTGCGCTGAAGCCGTCCTTCCTGAGCTCAGGCAAAAACGTGTAAGCCAGAGGCTAAAAAACTGTGAGTTAGCTCACACTAACTCAGCTTAGAGGGAACACTGGAAACCACCAAGGAAAATGGTAGACCTGTGTCAAGTTCCCTGACCTATATAGCCCAGGCTACAGACCCTTAGCTACAGTGGGGTATCTCGGGGCCGTGCTCCACAGCTTACAGCCCAGGCTTCCCAACTTTTGGCCCAGCTGGGTGGAGAGTGCTGCTACTGCTAAGGAGCTCACAGTGTCCCCGCTTTCAACAGCGGCAGTGCCAGCCAAAAGGTGAGCAGGCCCCAGTGATGGTTTGTGTGGGGGGTGCCCCAATTATTTAAAGGTCCTCCGAATTTTTTTAAAAAATCCTGGCTACAGACTTGTGCTTGTTAAATCTTGGAGCCAAGCAGGGTCGGCCCTGGTTAGCATCAGTGTTCCCTCGAAGAAGAAGAAGAAGAAGAAGAAGAAGAAGAAGAAGAAGAAGAAGAAGAAGAAGAAGAAGAAGAAGAAGAAGAAGAAGAAG